TGATAGTGCAGTGAGTAGGGAGTTAGCCTTGCATGTGGCTGACCCAGGTTCCATCCCTGGCATGCCATATGGTCTCCTGAGTACCACCTGGGTAAGTCCTGAGCACTGACAGGTGTGGTAAAACAAGCAAACAAAAAACCCCCAATCCAACCAAGAAACAGTGGTAATGGCTGCACATTTCAATGTAATCAGTGCAACATACAATGGCAAAGTTAGGCCAGAGAGAAAGGAGGGCACTCGCCTTCCATGTGGCCGAATTGGGTTGGATCCCCAGCATCCCATATAGTCTCCTGAGTATCGCTAGGAATAATTCCTGAGCACAGAGCCAGCAATAACCCCACAAGCATCACCTCTTTTGGCCCGAGACCCTGTCACCCACCCACTTAAATGGCAACATTTAGGAGCAATAGGGCCCTTGTCTTGCACATAGCCGACCCCCATTCTATCCCCAGCACCCCAAATGGTCCCTCAAGCTCAAGAGTGATCCCTGAGTGCACAGCCAGGAGTAATCCCTGAGCACTACCAGGCATGGCCCCTAACAAAGCAAACATAGATCTATGGTAGCACTAAATGATACATATTTTACCACAATAAAAAAAGTGATCATGACTTTATATTACTTTCCACATCTAGACATTAAATCATTGAGTAAGACTTGAAATTCATTTGAGTGTCCACTGATTTTTAGGGGAAAAAGCCATTCTCTAGACCTCAGTGGCCTGGCTGAAGAACCTATTCTCTGCCCCTTAGTTCCAGCCTCTGCTTGGCCCTGCAGGTGCTCCAGAGAGTGCCACAAAGACCCTGGTGCTTTGTGGGACTGCGGCTTACACTAGGTCTCAGACTTTCTGAGCTGGCGGCCCCCTTCCTTGGGGGCCCAGTTTCCCCAGGGTGGGGGGGGGCAGAAGGGGCTCAGCATGCTCCCCAAGACTCATGTGCATGTACTCCTGAGTCAGCACAAAGTCTGGGTTGGCTTGGGATTTCTGGGTGTGGGATCCAGAGCCCTGAGCAGCTCCGTGTCCTTAGTCACAGGCCATCACGGGCCCTGTCTGAACGACCACAGGATGACAGCATGTGACTTGTTCCCAAGTGAAAGGCTGCTTGTCACGGTGATTGTAAGTAGACTGAGATGGGCGCAGAGCAGGCAGTGTGGGATGGGGGAGCCACATGTTGGTCTCCTGCTGACATGTCTGTCAGCAGTGCCAGCAGGGAAGACATTTCTTCACAATGAGTGAAGAGTTAAAAGGAAGGCACGCCACTTTCCAGTAACTCGGCGAGCTTCCATTTTGGTAGTCTCTGGCTCAGCTGGTGAGTACTCACATAGCCTACAGGTTAGGGCTGTGAGCTCTGGTTCCCCAATCAGATCTCAGCAAAGGAGACTGTCCCAGTCTGAAAATGCCGACTGTTTGCACTTCAGACATTATCACTCAGCACCATTCCGAGTCACTCAGGCTTTTCTTATGGTATAATTCAGATAAAGTAATTGACTGGAACAAGAGGCCAAACAGTGCCGGCAACCAGTGTGGTATCCAAGTCACTGATGAGCATTATGAAGGCTTCTCCCTCACCTGAACACATGGTTAACTATGTTCTAATGAACAAATACAATGAACAGTCTGGAAAAGATTCAGAAGAAAGCACAGAACAGCAAGGGGGCCTGAAGAGAAGGTATAAACAATCTGAAATCATCCCATCATTCCTCGTTCAAAACTCTTAAATGATTCCAAACTGCTGATGGGAGAAAACCTAGGTGACTGTGCCTAGCTCGATGACCCTGATGGGGGACTGTGGCCTGGCCCCAGTTCTAACCCTTGGGTCCACACTGTCTGCCCAGCAGAGTGTCTTCAAGTCCTCCCTGCCCATCTAGGGCAGGCTGCCCTCAAGGCTGCAGTGCCCAACAGGGAACCACCCCTCTTCTGGAACAGATGCCAATTCTAAAATGAGTGTTCTTGGAGAACTGGTGGCCGGGCCCATGGCCATGGATGATGGGAATGATCGTGCGTGTCACTCTAATTCTGCATGACAGTTCTCCAAGGAAATGTAGGCACCATCTTGGCCAGTGGACAGTAAACACACATTACTCACTGATTCAGACATTTATTTTGGGGATAAGGAACATCTATTGAGTACCATTTTCTTAGATCAAAACAACAACAACAACAACGAACAGATCAGTCTCTCTGATTTGGGGAGGAGGCCAGAGAGATAGCCACTGCAGATGAAATGTTTTAATTTCTAGAGTGTGTGTGGGGGGGGAACAAAAGGGAAGGAAAGGACATTTATGTCTTCTTCTATGGTTGTCTTTTTCATTGCTGCTGTTTTGGGGTATGTCCAGTGGTACTTGGGTACTTGGGGGGACCATGTGAGGCCAAGGGGCACCTCAGAGCTCCTGTATGCAGGTGTCCTCCAGCCCTTCCAGCTGTCTCCCTCACGCCTTGTGATAGGTCATAGTAAGTAGAGGCCTGTCACCCTTTCTTGTATAGGATTATTTTGGTTTGTTACCCGAGGGGAGCCAAGGTTCTGCCACTAAGCAAGCAGAGGGAAAGACAGAGATGGACGTGCACTGCCCACCGCCTTCCTCATTCACCTCCTCACCCCCAAACACAATCTGAACTCTGCTCCTTGTACCGACTCACGGGCTGCCTAAGTTCCCAGGGAACAGACTTTGGGGCTGAACTGAACAAATCCACTTGGTTTTTTGTGCTTATTGTATATGTCTGTACATATCGGAGGTAGACTGTATGCCCTAAATGTCACCAAACAGAGTTTAAAAATAGGCCGCAACTCTTCACACAAGTCCACACACAGTGCACTAGCACGAGAGGCGTGTGGTGCGGGGTCCCTTTCGGTGGTCGGGCACTGGCAGGGTTCAGAAGCAGCCCCACAATCGGATCAGGCCTCTGGTCCGCAGCTGAAAAACTTAAAGACCAGGCGATGCTAGACTTTCACCAGGTTCTTTAGCGATGAAAGGGAAGCAGGATGGAGAAACATCAAACACAGAACTGACTGGACAAGTCAAGATTAAGAAGGATCGAAGGAACTTGACAAGAAAAGAACAAAAAATGGAAACACTGAAACACTTAGGAAAAAGCCCAAGGATGCTCCTGGTTTATCGTTTCCCAGTACTGGATCAAGTACGTGATAGTCACAGACCTAGTAAACAGAACAGCAGTTCCACGACAGGAAAAGTAGAGCACATCAGACACTAGAAAAGATTCAGGGGATGCTGCCAAACCACCACAGTCCATGTAGTTCTCTCACCCTCCACCCTTCACCACGTGCCCGCCCAGTCTGATGGTGGAGGCCACAGTTCGGCAGCAGCAGACGGACCCTAACTGCCACCACATGGCTGGGGCCTGGCACACTTCCGAGCACGGCTGTTCCCTGGTGAAATCACAGTGAATCTTCTCTCTCAGCACTCCCAACTGCAGTTTAAATCACCAAGACACATTTCCACATAATGACTTTAATAGCATTTGCAACAAAAACCACAGCTGAATGGAGGGGATTTTCTTGCATTTTTGTTTTCCCCAGAAATTTAACTCATTCCTACTTATGCTTTAGCTGTAGCTACATAACTAAGAATTCTTGCCTAAATCGGAAACATGTGTTCTACTCAAAAGAACCATCTCACGGAATGAGGTCTTCCCCACCCGACTACTCTTGGTGACCACTTCGTCCTCCAGTGTCCAGACCCACAGTGCTCTTATTTGCCCCACAGTGCTCACCAGCACATACGCCCTCAGGGTGGACAGCTGTAGGCTCTTATTCATAGCAGCCTCGCCCGCCCACCATGGCTCAGAAGGGCCCTCTCAGAAACTACAGGACTGCACCAGAACCAGCAGGCAAAACGCCGTCTTTCTCATGAAAAACCAAGCCTGACTGGTCTGGAAGATGACAAAGGGCTGCAGCACAGGCATGCAGGGGACCTTCTGAGCAGTGTCAGGGCCCCAGGGGCCATCCCTACTCTCTCAGCCAACCAGGCAGGGCCAGTCTGGCAGGGATCACCCAGGTCACCCCCGGCAGGGATCACCCAGTGTCACCCCCCAGTGGCTGCTGGGGACTGAACCTGAGTCAGCTGCCTGTGAGGCAAGCACGCGAACCCTGTACTGCCTCTTCAGCTCCAGCTCAGTACCAAATGGTCACCTGCAGAGACAATGGGAGAGAAGCAGGTTGCCAACCGCTGGATTTGCAGACAGCTTCTCAAAGGAACTGTGGGAGGAGAAAACCACATCTTTAAAATTATATGGCTGGGAAAACCCGAGCACTGAACAGTGTGAGTGTACTAAGGACTTGCTTTTCACTTTCAATTTTTACTTAGTTTTTCAATCACACTCAGAGGTGATCAGAGACTTATCCCAGCTCTGTGCCTGGGATCACTCCCTTGCGGTGCTCAGGGTCAAAGGCACAAAGCCTCCCCAGCTCTCTCTGGCCCCACTTTTTGCTTTTTAGGTGAAGACAGCTAAAAAGTATTTCTAGCAAATGGTACTTAGACCTCAGCTTCCTGGTCAGTCAATGGTGACCCTCCTCAGGAGTCCACTGGTAAGCACTGTAGGGGATCTCAAAGTGAGCACACCTTCAGCTGAACACACACGAGAGCACATGCACACACTAGTACACACAACACGGAGCTGCATGCAACACACAAGTGCACAGCATGTCTGTAATGCACAACCAGGGAGTGTGCATTTGTGCCTTTGTGTCTCCACAGTACATGTAGTGTTCCCGGGACACAAAGGCACTTGTATGCATATATCCAAGCACAAAGACCAGGGGCTGCCCCAGGGGCAAAGGTGTGTCCAGGATGTGAAGACATTCAGAGACTGTCAGTGGGCAAAGCTTGTCCTTTCTGTACACCAGGGTAGTCGTCCTACCAGATCCCTGCAGGTGAGCTGAGTGTGAGCTCATTGAGAGCTTGTCTCAGGTCGGAAAGAAAAACAAGCTGCCTCCAGAGAAAGGCGGTGAACGCCTGTCAGCACTTAGGTTCTCAGGATACAAGTTACCTGTTTCAGCTCCTGAGCTTCCCCCTCAGAAATCTGTGGCTCGCTGGCCTGCAGCTGGAGAGACTTGCCTTCTTGGTTCCCTGAGGATGGATCCCCTGGAATGCTGTGGCACATCAGCTCCGATGCTGGAATGGAAAGTCAAACAGCAACATCACTGCCTGGAACGGACGCAGTGCAGGGACATTCACAGCCTTCACAAGTGTGTGTCTGAGACGGCCCTATCTCACAGGGATCCCACTGGTCAGCAGCCTCTGTGCCTGTCGGGGGGCGGGGACAGCTGTTCTCCTGAACATCTGCTCTACTAAGCATGTGGTACAGAACGTGTCCAGCTCACTCTTCTAGTCCCAACCCAGGGCTGCTTCCAAGAGTTCAGAGGACTGTCCTCCGACCAGCTCTCAGGAGAAAGGGTTTCTGTCTGGGTGGGTGAGAATGGTAGATTTTTCTTTTAAGAAAGGTCTTAAGATTTGTAGCATTAAAAAAACAATTGATAGGGCAGGTGATAGTACAGTGGGTACGGCACTTGCCTTACATGTGGCCGACCTGGGCTCTATCTCTGGCATCCCATAGGCCCCCTGGGCCCCACCAGGAGTGACCCCTGAGCACAGAGTCAGGAGTGAGCACCCTGAGCATGCTGGGTGTGGCCCCCAAATGGAGGGGACAGAGGGAGAGTACGGTGGCAGGTAGGGCACTGGCCTTGCATGTGGCTGACCTGATTCTATCCCCGGCATCCCACATGGTCCCCTGAGTGCCACCAGAAGTGAGCCAGAAGAGAGCCCTGAGCACCCCTGGGTGGGGCACTGCAGCATTACCCACTTGTTGAACCTGGTTGGAAAATCACTAAAAGCCCCACTGGGAACTGCAGTGCCACTTACCAGCCCAGACACTGGGGCTCTAGGGAGCACAGGGAATGGTCAGCGGGGCTTCTGGTTAGCCTGGGGTGAAGCTGGGCACTGAGCTGGGTCTGAGGAGCCTGGACACAGTGTTGCATAGCAGCACACGTGCTGGGTGATAAATGCTCATGGCCTGTCCCGAGGTGCCACCTGTCCTCTGCTGGAAGAGGCAACTGCAGCTACAGCCCTGGCACCTGAGTCCAGATGGGCATCTGTCAGCCTGTGGCCATACACCTCTGGAACTCAGTCCTTGAGCTGCAGAGACTGGCTGTGTGCACTCTGGTGGGAGCTGCTGTGTAACAAACAGCACCGGGACATGGGGAACACAGGACCCTGCCGCCCTGAGCAGCGGAAGGGAGAGCAGATCCTTAAGGGCAAAGCTCTCTGGGGCCTGAGGAGCAGCAGCGCAGCCAGCCGTTCCAGAACTTGGTGGTCATGCGAGTCCTGGCCTCTGCCTCCCCGTGCACAGACATCCCTCTCTTTCTGCTCCTCGAAGCATTCTTTTATTAGGGGTCTGGGGGTGGGGATGGAGGCACACCTGGCGATGCTCTGACCCCTTTCCCTTGACTGGGACCATCACGAGGAGCACAGCCTACACAGAACCACCACACCCTACCTCGGACGCAGAAGCCTCAATTCCAGTCTCAGAATAAGCGTGCATGATGCAATATCCACTCAGATGGCTGTGTGTCTGCTCCACACCTTTCAGGAAAACTGTTCTAAAACAGTGGCTTGAAACCACCCCACTATGGACCAGCACCCATGTGCACCTGTGTCTCGTAAGCCACTGCTGTAGAAGATCTCCCCACGCCAGCACCGAGGGGCTTACCTCTTCGTGGCAATTCAGTGTCACCTGGGTGATCGCCAGCTGAACTGTCACTAAGCTGAGCAGCAGCATGCTCACCCGGTCAGCACAGAGCAGTCAGAGCCAGGCTAGAAGATGTACTGACGCGTTCCACTAGTTATAATTAGCCTGAAGGAAAGGCCAACAGCAGGGCATGCAAGCCTGTGGCAGCGAAAGTGCACTTCCTCGCCTGCACCTCAGTGGTTCCATGGGCTCCTGAAGAGCACCCGATTTTCAGCTGCATCTCTCAGCCTGTCCTGGTCTTCTATGCACCCTGCCTGCAAAAGCCACTCAGGCACAGGTCCTCTAACATCAGGTCTGTCCCGAAGGCGGCTATTTTGCCATGGCCCGCAACAATGGTTCTGGCCCGTCTCAGTTTTCAGTCCTTTGTGTACTATTGGTTTGGTCTCATGCTGTTTATTTTTTTTTTTTCAGCCCAGCATGCACCTGTGGGGGTTGGGTTCAGGTTCAGGCTCCATGGTCAACCCTGAAGCTGTATTACAGAGCAAACGTGGAATTGCATGGTTTTACTTAAACACCCAGAAAGACAAAGCAGGATTTTTTTCTTCTTGGGTTTTATTTTACCAAAATTAGAAACTTAGATAATAGGGTCAAGGTCTATTTCCCCAGTGAGCGGTGGGTCACTCAGGATCACAGATCTAGCCACCTCCAGGCTCTGTGATGAGAGCCAAGCTGCTGACTCTGTTAGCCCACTGTTTTGAAGTGGCCTTCCTGGGAAAAATTATTTGGTTCAGTAAAAAAAAAAAGTGTGTGTCTCTCAAGTCATTAATCATCACAGTTGAGCCAAACAAGAATGGACTGTTTAAGCTACATGAGATTATTTCACTTTCTAGGAATGAGGAGGGGGCCTTAGGAGCAGGACTGGGCCTAGAGTGGACTCTGTACATTCTTCCATCCATTAGACATAGCTTCTCGCCTCAGCATGGGCTCAGAGATGATCAGGGTTTGACATGGGACAGAACTGTCCTCAGCTTCTTCAGTCCTGGCTGGTCCCTTCAGAGGGTCTGATGGAGGGGGTCAGTGGTGCCATGACCTAGCTCCCACATGGGATGCGTCGGTGGCCAGTGAGGTCCCCAGGTCAGAATCCCATGCGAGATTCCAGTGCCCTGGACCTTTATTTACTGCCACAACCAGTTGTGTATGTCCTTGGCGACCCCCTGACCTGTCTGCTGGGGGACTGCAGGTGAACGTTCAGTGGAGTCTGGAATGTACACTAATTCCACTATGAGAGCAGAAAGGCACATGGAGAGATGAGTTAGGCAACAATTTCCCTGGGCTGGGGGCCAAGTGATGGAACGGTGGGAAGGGCACCTGCCTTATACGTGGCCGACTTTCTACATGAAACCCTGCCAGGAGTGAGCCCTGAGCACTTCTGGTTGTGGCCTCCAAAACAACAAAAAATAATTTCCCTGGGCTGAGAGGACAGCGGATAAAGCCTCTCAGAAGGAAAGAGCCAAGAGGAACCCTCAAATGAAATTAAAGACCCTAAAAAACCACTTGCACTGGGGCCGGGAGATGGCTTCGTGGGCTGGAGCACATGCTCTCTGTGTAGGGCCACCACCCACATAGAACAGAACAAAACACAAAATACAGGCATGGCTCCGGCTGATGCAGGGAAGGGCACGCCTCCAGTCACCCTCCCAAACTATCTCCCAGGGACCACAGCATAACACCACACGGCCAGTGTGGGCAGGGCTCCGGAGCTGCTTTTCCAGACTCCCGACACAGTCATAGTGCAGAGCCTGAGGAGACACAGCGACAGAAGCAAAGTGAGATCTCAGTGCCCTGGGAGAGAGGGGCAACTGGGTGGGGCGGGAAGGCATGCATAGGAAGCACGAACTGTAGTGGACAGTGGCAGCCCTACAGAGGCTTCTCTGTGTGGCATGAAAGGTGCAGGTTAGATTGCCGCCAAGGCTCAGAGATGGGACACGGGACGCTGGCAACAGAGGCGTGGGAACTCTGGTACCCTCTCGGGCTTCTGTCGTCAGTGCCGCTGTAAAGTCTGAAGCCACCCTCACGCAAAAAAGGTGATTTGAAAAAAACTTTGCACGTGCTCTTCCCTGCTGTGGGGACCGTACCTGTTTGTCCCTGGCACCTGAAGCCAAGAAACCCGTAGCCTTCTCCACCCACCTCTGGTTCTGACCCTTTCACAGTCCACACTGCTGTGGAGGTCTCTGGAAAGTTCTCCTAGAAGCCAACGGGTGGCAAACACCATGTTATCAGACTGCCACCTACTGGCCACACACTTCCCTAAATTGCTCATGAGTAATTTGAGACGCTGAACCTTCCATCTCACTGGGTTCTTCCGAGAAGAGAAGCGGCAAACACAGTCCTGCAGGGCCACTTACCTGCACGCCACACCGAGCTGCCTTTCTCTGCTGTGGAGTTGAGTCCGGTGCTTTGCAGCACTGAGGCATCATCCAACATCTCAATCTTCCTGCTGAACTGCATTTCCAAAATGGGGATGACCTCAGGCATCTTGGCGGATATTAAGCGATAAGCTATGTCTGGTTTCCCAATGAACCGCTGGCGGATGCTGATCTCATATGGTGTGTGGACCTTAATGTCATCCACATCATCTCTTTCAAATCTATGCATGAGCAAAGCGTTTGAATCATGGATCTCCAACCCGGACACCAATAGAGTGAGCCTTCCTGGCTTCACCTGAGATTCTGCTTTCTGAGAAATAACAGCAGCAACTTGAATCAGTATCCCTTCTTTCCCGAGAGTTTTGGAATTCGCTGTGGAGGCATCTTTTCTGAGCCTCGTTTCTGATGGTGTCTTCCACAGCTTAGAGCCAAAGGGCCACCAAGAAGGAGATTCCAGTTCTGTCAGCAGCCTAAAAGAGCAGCAAAATAGAAAACGGAGTCAGCTCATTTTCAGGACTCAGACTGCTTCAGGTAAAGTAGCTCAGTGGTAGAACATCAGCTTCTTGTGTATGGGGTCCTGTATTCAATTCTGATATACACCTGCTTACCTCACCCTACCCCATCCCCACCAAAAAAAGGCCACTAAACCCCAAGTTTAGGTTGAAAAAGGGCACTTTCCCATTTTGTAGTTCTGTTTCCCACAAGCATCCACAAAGCAGAAAGGTAGGAATTATTATGTGATTTTGGAGAAGAATAGAATGCTCAAGTAAAAGCAAAAAGGGCATCTGTATCCCACAAAGCAAGTCAGTAGTAAAGGCAACAAGACAGAACTCCTGGCTAGAATGCTTTCTTCACACTTGACCTTGAATTTTTTTTTTTCCTGGCCACTCTCAGTGATGTTCAGAGGTTACTCCTGACTGTGCTCGAAGGTCCCTATGGGATGCCAGGGATCAAACCTGGCTCAGCTGTGTGCAAGGCAACTACCCTACCTGCTGTACTATCACTTGGGTCACAGGCCTTGAGTAAGTTTGATTCCAAGTCAACCCTGACCTTCGAGAGATGACAGAACTCCTTGCAATATTGGGGCTGTTCTCTATCCAGGTGTAGCTCTTGCGTTCCTAAAGTGGCACTCGTAAGTGGCTTCTTTTCTTTTCCCTTTTTGGGTTTTTGGGCCATACCCTGCAGTGCTTGGGGGATCATTCCTGGGTGTGCTGGGGGCTACCATATGTGCTGCGGGGGTCAGCCTCACTTAAGACACATGCCCTAAAGAACTGAACTTCCCACTTAATTTTAGTACATCTAGTGGCTGCCAGACTGAACTGACATCACCAAGAGACAGACCTGCTCATAAACGACCCTTCAGATGTAAAGTCAGTAGTGCTGCAGACGCGGGGCAGCGTGCAGACTTCCAGGGACTAGGGAAGTCAATGCCAAGATGCAGTTTGGCTCTTGCTCAATCCTCTCATGAGTGGTGTCTGCAGCGGTCACAGCACACACCGTGGGCACACTGGCCACAGAGAATCCAGCTGTCTCTTATTACAGTTCACCATTGAGAAAGAGACTCAAACAGTGCCACTTCCCCACTAATCTGTTTGACTTCAGTAAAGTTAGATCTTTTATTTAAAAAAAAAAAAAAAGAAATCTTTCTAGGTCATGGGTTTTGGGGGTGGTAGTGGTTGGATTGAACTTGTGACTTCAGCATGCAAAGCATGTGTTCCAGGCCACTGGGCCATCTCCCTTTATTGTTCTTTTTAAAATGAATATTTAGAAAAATCTCTCAAATTTATCATAGCACCTGGGGTCACTCCAGGGAGTGCTTAGGGAGTACTTAAAAATGTGAGAATCCAGGGGCTGGAGTGATAGCACAGCAGGTAGGGTGTTTGCCTTGCATGTGGCCAACCTAGGTTCGATTCCCAGCATCCCATATGGTCCCCTGAGCACCACCAGGGGTAATTCCTGAGCGCAGAGCCAGGAGTGACCCCTGTGCATTGCCGGGTGTGACCCAAAAAGCAAAAAAAAAAAAAAGTGAGAATCCAGATGCATGTAAGGCAAGCACCGGCCACTGAGCCTTGTCCCAGCCCTCAGGTTCTCAGTAAAAAAAAAAAAAAAGCCAACAATATTGGCAAATACAGCCACACCAACGATGGCTCAGGTGTTAAGAGTGAAGGGTGACTGGTGCAGAAGGCTTGAGAATGACTAGGGTAGAAGCTGTGGTGGTAGATTCTGGAGCCAGAATTATTCAGTGCAAACCATGTGGCAGTAGAGCCGTGTAGAACCAGAAAAACGATGCTAACAAACAGTGTGCATGACCGTCAATAAATTACTTCGCAGTCTGGCTCAGTTTCTCCTTATCTAAAAGTTAGGGCAATATATTCTTGGCTTGCTTGGTGACTAAATGAAGTCATCTTCATTAATAACTGAAGACTGTTTGGTATGGACAGAGTAGACCCTGAAATGCTGGCCTTGGAGACGTGTGCTCACAGCAGCCAGCTCAGCATAACTCTCCACAACAGGGCACTGCCCATATTTTCAGAATGCTGGCTGTCTGTTAAAAATGGCTGATGGAAGACACACCACCCATTGGAGGTCAGGTGAAGGTCACAGCATTCTACTCTACCTGTCTGCCACGTCAAGATCAGATTCCATCTGGTCCAGGCCTCTTGCGATGTTGTCAATCTGCTCACCCTGATGGTGGAGGACTTTGGCTGCATCTTCCAGGCGCTTCTGGGAACAGGCCATCAGAGTGGTCAGCTCCTTCCCTTTGGTCACAGGGGAGGATGCCAGCCCAGCAGCAGCTCCTGGCTGAGACAGCAGCAGCTCTCTCCAGAAATGCTCAATGATGCTGAAAACAGCATTCCGACTTGGCTGCAAGGCGCTGAACCAGTGCTTGATGTGATCCTTTTCCAGGATGGTGATAGAACTGAAGATGAAATGAGAAGCCTCTTTCTTGATTTCAATTATACTAGCAAGCGGGAAGTTGACCAGAATTTCTCCAGTTTTATCAGTTGTGAATTTCAGTGAGAGAGAAGTCAGTGCAAGTTTTCCTGGGACCCATCGCTTCTCAAGTTCTAAGTAGTAGGAGCATGGCCATGTGTGGACACAGATGTCTCTGCTCATTTGGTTCCTTGGTCAGCTGTATCTGGGCCAAGGCCACTCTCTCTGAAAGCAAAAGGACCAATTACTGGATGGAGCCAACTCTGATGCCTCTTTCCTGAGCTTCAGTGATCAAAACATCAGGGAACAGTTCCTGGGAACTGCTGGGTGCAGAATCCAAAAATAAATAAATAAATAAACCAACCAAACAAACAAAGTAACCAAAATAAACAGCCTCACATTCTCAACTCAGGAGGCTTAAGGAGGAGGCAGGAAACCCATACTCTTACATCACTGGAAAGAGGGAAGGTTTCCTTTGCTCTTTCAGGCTTCCTGAGCTTCCACACAGAGGCTGGTGTCCCTGTCCTCGGAGGCCTCCCACAGGCTACAGCTGTGCTACGATCAGAGTGAGGGGCAGAGCAGCCTGTCCCCTGTGCCCATGCCTCCGCGCTTCACAGGCCTTTCCCCCTAGTTGGAGGGACACTCCTGTGAACTCTCTGAACACATAAGCTTTACAGCACTGCTAGACGTGGCCTGCAGGACAGGGAGCAAGTCTCTGGGCAGACTCACACTCCCTCACACATCCATGCTTGTCTGTCCAGCCACAAGGCCATTCAGCAGTCACTGGAATCGAGAGGACAAGCCATAACCACATAACAATGATTTTAAATCTTTGTTTTAGAGGCTGGAGCAATAGCACAGTGGGTAGGGTGTTTGCCTTGCACATGGCTGACCTGGTTTCCATTCCCAGCATCCCATATGATCCCCTAAGCACCGCCAGGAGTAATTTCCTGAGTGCATGAGCCAGGAGTAACCCCCGTGCATTGCTGGGAGTGACGCCAAAACAAAACAACAACAACTTTGTTTTAGGGCCGCACATGGCAATATTCAGGTCTTACTCCTGACTCTGCACTCGGGAATCACTCCTGGTAGGGTTTAGGGGACACTGTGGGGTGCCAGGTCTGAACTGGGGCCGACCACATGAAAGCAAGCACCTTGCCTGATGTACCCTCGCTCCATCCCTGGTTTTCCGTGTTTGTTCAAAGCCAATGACAAACTTGCCACTGTAGCATGTGACCACACAGCACTTGGTCAGCCCCTGCCCGACTGTCCTCTTCAAGAGGAACCACCACCGTTTGGCCACCCTGTGCCTTCCACTGAGCATCGCTAGTCCTCAGAGTTGGGCAGGGTCACGCCATCCTTTTGAGGACTCTGGCAGGCCATTTAGAAACAGGATTTGTATTAACAGCTGCTTGACCCAGACTTATCGTTCCTGAATGAGTACTCTGGGAGGTCTCCATGAGCAACGGGTGACGACGCACAAACTCCCCAGAGTCACTGAGTCTGGCACTACTGCCTCAGGAAGCTCCAGCTCCACCACAGACTTTACAGCTGTGGAAAAGTTACTTCACCTTCTGGACTTCTGTTTATCCACCATTAAAATAACTAAAAGACCTAAAAACTTCTGCTCTAAGAGACTCTGAAAACCGAGAAAAGAAAAGAAAGGGGAAAGAATCAGGAGGAAACTTAGACACTTCAGTTGGCACCCACGTATTATATAATACACATGAGAGAGGGATTTGGGTGCCATGAATCCCATTGAAAAGCAGAGGATCGTGGCTGCAGTTCTTCCTAGCAGAGATTTCCAAAGCACCTTCCTCCACAAGCCCAAGTCAATGAAGACCAAGTGGGGACATTTCTGCTGTGTACAAGAAAAAGGCCAAACTCCACATGTGGAAGCAGGAATGGCCCACAGGCCCACAGTCTGCTGGACCCTCTCGTCAGCTCACAGAATGTTCTGAAATGTCGTGCTCAGATACGCTGCGGGGGAGGCCTCTGCTTCTGTGCTGGGCACCTTCCACCATGGCGCTGTCACCTCTCCACTACCTCCCGTCCCTCCCGCCGCTCTGCCCACCCACGGATGTGCAGACCTTTGTCCACAGTGACCCATTACTTCTAGTTGACACGGCGTGGTTCCAGAACGCTGTGTCTCTGCCTCGCACCCATACCAGGGTCTTGTTTCTGCTCCCCCTCCCACCTATCAGCAACCCTTTCTTCCCAGTGAGTCCAGGGTCTCACAGCAGTAAATATTGCCCCCAATCTTCTCAAGTTCTTACATCGTACACACAGGAGGGCAAGGTGGGCCCTCCATGAAGCCATCCCACAGGCATTTCCAGGTTGGCTTGCCCCTCTGCCTGCCCCTCGCTTCCAGGGTGGTAGCTCCTGGGGAGTACTCTTGGACTGCCCCTCCACCCCTGCTCATGCCCTCCCTCCTCTAAGTCATTCATTAGTCCTGGCAGGACTTTCTCCTTGCATCTGCCCACAGCCTAGCCCCCAAGCCACACCACCGAAAGGGTAGTTATTACTGCCCACACAGTGCGGTATCTCCTTCCTCACTGCTGCCTGCCTACCACCCTCCTTCAGCCAGCAGCAGTTAGAGCGACAAGATTCCTCCCCATCTCTGTGTCAAGTTCAGCCTCTGCTCTCTAGCCCAGCAAATTCCGACCAGTGTCGCCCTCGGCTCTGTGCCCGCCACTGGGCCTGCACCTGCTTCGCTGCTCACTTCTCATTCCTTCGTCTCTGCTGCTGCGTCATCTTCTCTTCCCTAAAGGGCTCTCCACACCACAGCCTCAGTGGCCCTTTTTCTGTGCTTCTGGGTCCCTAGACTGGGGAAAGCCTTGTGCTCCAGGGAGCATCAGCATGACCCTGTAACTACGTGCTGAGTGGACCGCACTATGTGAACTGGATCATGGCAGCATTACTGTGTGCACCGAGGGACAGCGAGTGCTCTTCCTTCCGGGTGTCTGTAATCAGTGCCAAGTTCCTGGAGCACAAGCCAGCACTTCTGGCCTCCCCAGCTCTTACCCAGAGTCCACAGCTCCTAGCCAAGACTTGCAGAACTGCACTCACCTGTAGAGACAACCATATAGGGAGGCGAACCCACATAACTAAGCTACTTAGCATGCAATTAGCACGATGGGTCTCTTTCAGCACTTCTAGCAGACCTGTGTCTAGTGAACCACAGTATCAAGTAAACACCCTATTTTTAGTTCAGTTCCAAAGTAGCAGAACATGCAGAACATTTCGCACACCTTCCAGTAACTCCTGCCACAAGAAAGCTTGGAACAGTGGGAGCAGTGTTCCCACAAACTCCTGCCTTTTCCATTACCTTCACCTTCTGCTCTCAGAGGCTCCCACTTTCCACCTAGGAGGTCTAAACATGCAGTCAGAGTTTGTTACTGCAGAGACAGAGCTTATTCGCACAGCATCCATGTTTCAGAGAAATGAGGCTCTTACATTATTTGTACATGATACTGACTCCTAAACTCCTTTCTTTTGCATTCTGGTTCTTACTATAGATATGAATTAGTATGTGACCTGGTTTAGAACAGTGACACCTGTCCCCAGGCTCACCTTCTGAATTTCAGACACCCTAAGCTTAGTATTTTCCTACATCTTTAAACAACTGCAAACACACTGCTCCCCCCACTTTCCCCAGTTACCGCTCATGATCTGTACTCACTATACCTGAATTCAAATGAAGGAATAGCTTGCCAGATACTATATTATAAAAGATAAAGAATAGAAAATGCTTGGGGTGGGAGACAGACTTAGCACAGATGCCAGTCCTGGTTTTGGCACCACACATGAGCCCCCAGCACCGTGAGCATGGCAGGTGTGCAGGCTCAAGTCCAGAGATTCATACCTGAGCGCATCAGAAATAGCCCCCAAGCTTCCTTGGGTGTGACTGAAAAACAACAAAGAATAGCAAATGTTTACAGAGACAAACTTATGGATGAGAGAGGAGACAGTAAGGCACAGGGGAAGAAAAGAAAACAAGTAAATGCTTGCATGTATTCATGCACAGAAGGGAAGTTTCCCTGTCACTAATAGAAAACAGTCCTTTCAGGTGGAATTGTGGGTGATTCTTCTCCAGTTTAACTTTGTTTGCCCATTTTCCGCTGTCTGCTAGCCCAAGGTGTGATGAATCCCACGCCTGACTACACAAGGCAAGCGAGGCAGATGGAAAAGGCAGATACTCTCACCCCTTTGTGTTACCTCACTTACCACAATTCCCACCACGTGCCCTGCTTCCGTTTCTACCTGGGCCTCAGATACTTTCCCCCACATGCACTTCTAGGGCCTGCTTCTCCGCCTTTTCCCACTGCAGAGCCTTCTGTTCTGGGTCAACGTCAGACCCCTTGGAAAGAACCCCCACCTTCAAGCTCCCTTTCCAAGTCCATAGCCTCAGCACACCCAGAACCTTTCTTCTTCCACCCATAAGAGTAAACAAATTCACATCTTGCTTGTTAAATACAGGGGCTGTTCCTTCTCTTCAGCTTTTGTTAGGAGTAAGCAAAACCAGGGCTGGAGTGATAGCACAGCGGTAGGGCGTTTGCCTTGCACACAGCCAACATGGCCGACCCGAGTTCGATTCCTCCGCCCCTCTCAGAGAGCCCGGCAAGCTACCGAGAGTATCTCGCCCGCACGGCAGAGCCTGGCAAGCTCCCCGTGACGTATTCGATATGCCAAACACAGTAACAACAAAGTCTCCAATGGAGACGTTACTGGGCCCGCTCGAGCAAATCGATGATCAACGGGAGGGCCTTTACTTACTTTAAGCAAAACCAGTGTCCAGATTTTGCAAGGCACATTCATCACCTGTTGACAGAACTGTAAGCACCAACTTTCCCAGAATGCATGGGAGCCCATGCTTGGCATGAAGACCCGGATTCTATCCCAGGCACCGCATGCATCCCTGAGCACTGCCAGGTGTGGCTCTCAAACAAAACAAAAACCAAATAAACCAAAAACCAGAGCCATGGGGCTGCGACAGCACTGCAGTTAAGATGTTTGCTTTGCATGCCGCGCACCCGGGTTCGATTTCCCTGGCATTTCATATGGTGCTCCAGGCCCACCGGGAGTGAGCCCTGAGAATAGCTGGACAGAGCCCCAACCCCTTCCACTGGCGTGTCCCCCTCCCCCAAACAACATACCAGAGCCAGAAACTGTCTAGAGTTCCCATTGATGCGGAAGGATTACAGGATGCTCCTACATTTCTATCAGAGAGACGAGAGGCTTTTTTACTACGTGTAAAACAGAGCTGTGTACCCTCTTGCATTGGGGAGTGTGACGCAGTAACCTTGCACCTGTGTACTTGTGCACTCTCCCGCTCTCCTGCAGACGTTTGACTAGCAAATTCCCACGGTACAGCGATGGTTTCCCTCCGTTCCACGTGGACAGGAGTGGGTTGACGTCGCTGGGTTTGGCTTCTCAGGCAGGCCGGCGTGCAGCCTCAAGCCCGCACCTGAGTGGCCGCACGCCTCCTGCCTGCCCGCGCCCACCAGCGCCCGCGCCCAGCACCCAGCCCAGGCCTCTGCGTCTCCGAACCGCCCTCGCAGCTTAGGCCCCGGGCATCCCGCAGAGGCCCCGCTTCTGGCCTCGGGCATCGCCGGCGGCCCAGCCCAGCCCCTGCCCGCCAGTCCCCGGGGCACGAGCCTGAGTCGGGGGCCGGGGGTTCGGGGCGCCGACGCAGCCGCGCGCCGGGAGGCCGCTTTACCCGAGCCGCGGGGGGTGCGGAGCCGGCCGTGGGGTCCGCAGCGCCTGCAGGGTCCGGGGTCGCCGGAGCCGGAGCCGGAGCGCGGGGCGGCCGGGCTGCGCTGCGTCTGCGCCTGCGCGTGCGCCGGGCGCGGGCCGCGGCGGGGCCGGGCAGAAACGGCGGCCGGGCGCTGGGTTCCGGCCGCGGCGGGGCCCGGTCTGGGTGCGGGGAGCCTCCCGCCGCCGCCCGGTTCCCCGCGCCCGCCGCCGCCGGGCATGGACCGCGAGACGCGCCTGCTGGCCGAGCGCCACTTCCGAGGCCTCGGGGGCCGCGGGCCCGGCGGGGCCCGGCCGGCGCCGCGCCGCGTGGACTTCATCGCCGAGCCGGGCGCCTTCTCGTACGCGGACTTCGTGCGGGGCCACCTGCTGCCCAACCGGCCGTGCGTCTTCTCCAGCGCCTTCACCGCGGGCTGGGGCTGCCGGCGCCGCTGGGTGACGCCCGCCGGCGCGCCCGACTGGGACTACCTGCTGCGCACCTACGGTGGGCCGGGGGCCGCGGCCGGGGGGCGGGGGGCCCCAGGGGGGTCTCGGGGCGGGGGGCGCCCAGGGGGGTCTCGGGGCGGGGGACCGCGGCCGGGGCCCGGGGGCGCCCAGGGGGGTCTCGGGGCGGGGGGCCGCGGCCGGGGCCCGGGGGCGCCCAGGGGGGTCTCGGGGCGGGGGGCCGCGGCCGGGGGCCCGGGGGCGCCCAGGGGGGGGTCTCGGGGCGGGGGGCCGCGGCCGGGGGGCGGGGGCGCCCAGGGGGGTCTCGGGGCGGGGGGCCGCGGCCGGGGGCCCGGGGGCGCCCAGGGGGGTCTCGGGGGGGGGGGCCGCGGAGCGCTCTGAGGAGCCCGCGACCCCTCGCCTTCCAGGAGACGTGGTGGTCCCCGTGGCGAACTGCGGGCTCCGGGAATACAACTCGAACCCCAAAGAACGCATGCCGCTCAGGGACTACATCGGCTACTGGAGAGGACACATCGAGGCCGGCTACTCGTCTCCCCGGGGATGCCTCTACCTCAAAGACTGGCATCTGTGCAGGTAAAGCCACAGAGCGGGCATCTCCCCCAGCCCCGGCGCAAAGCACCTGCCTCGGCGGCCGTCCTGGTGCTGGCCTTGCACACAGCCGGCTCTGGCTCCCGGCATCCCCCGAGGGTCCCCGGGGCTCCACCAGGGATGACCCCTGAGCGCAGCAGAGCTTACTTCCGCTCGCCGTGAGCAGTGCCAGGTGTGTGGCCCGCAGAGAAAAGAAAACCCAAACTTGATGCCCTTCAGTCCTTGTTGGAGTGGCAGCTGGCAGTCACTCCCAGATTGGCCTCTTGATGCTGGGGGAGTGGGCCCTGGCAGGGACGCCGATGAGCTGTGGTCACTACCTCTTCAACCTGCCCTTGATGGCCTAACCTCCATCTTAGAGGCAGCACTGTTCTGGGCCCTCCTCAGATGCCACTCGGTGGGACTGACCTTTCCCGCCGACTGGCCAGGTCACTCTCTTCTCCACCCTGATCGCCATCATTCTCCTGCCAGGCCACGCACCTCATGTCCAGGTGATCTGATGTGGGCGCTTGAAAGCTCCAGGGTAACCTTTCCAGCAGAGCTGTGTCCCACTCACCCTTGATCCTTCATCACTGGCCAGAGCAGCAGCTCACACTTGCCTTTCCGGTGTGTCCCTACTGGCCCCTCCTCCTGGGTCTGAACTTGCTTATTCAACCTACTGTGGGGCCTAATCTTCGAACCACCCGGCTCTGAGGACGGTCCCACACCAGCACACCCCTGCCTCTGGGAAAATAACTTCTAACTAATCGAGAGGGGTTTCTTATCAGACCCACACTGACCTGCATAGTCATCGTAAATGTGCAAACAACTACATTAACTCCTGGGTTACGGTTTGCGTGAACGACTAAATTCTTGATTTTATGACGTGGAAGCTAGGTTTCAGAAAGGTCAGATCAAGGGCTGGGGAGGTAGCTCAAAGTGACGAAGTACGTGGCCAGCGTGTGTGGGGCCCTGACAGTTGTCCCTGAGTCCCCACTTGTTTGGGTGTGCGGCTGGGCTGGGGCATAAATGACTGTGAGCAGGGAAGCGCACAACACCTCGTGTGCGTGGTGCAGAACCTTGTGTTTGCACCTGAGACCTGGCATCCAGCAGGCTGAGTCATGGACACTGGGTGAGGCAAAGGTGTAGAAGAGGCTCACCGATTCCGGAAGCCATTCTAATGCCGGGCCTGCACCAAGAATCCGCAGTGAAATCCAGGCTTGAAGTCTCAGAGCTGCAGGGTTGGTTCCAGATGTCACAGAAACTCTACAGCCATTTATTTTGTCTGTTTGGTGTCTGGACTAGAGCTGGGTGGTCTGAGGTGGCCCCATGCAGCCTGATGGCTGGTGCCAATGGTCTGGGCACAGCAGCAGAAGGCAGCTTAGGGTCATGCACTTTTTTTTTTAAAATTTTTATTAGTGAGACACCATGAGGTACAGTTGTAGACTTACACAGCTTTTTATTAACCCTTAAGATCTCTTGTGTTTAGCACTGGAGTGTGGGGAGGTGGGCTTGCGGCTGCTACGTGCGCCTCAACCTCATTCCATTGTCTCAAGGGACTCCTCAGCCAAGGATGTGTTTACCCTGCCTGTGTACTTCTCGTCGGACTGGCTGAACGAGTACTGGGACACTCTGGACGTGGATGACTACCGCTTCATCTACATGGGGCCCACTGGCAGCTGGTGAGATGGCCTCCCAACACCACCGCCCGCATCCTGGCCCCTCCTTGGTCTCACCCCACCCTGCACCCCATCTCCTTTGCTGCCCTGGGAGCTCGCCCTCAGCTCATCTTGGAGAGTTCCATCAGCCAGGACTTGGAGTCAGGCCCCAGGTTGGGCGTTCCTAGGCCCACTGGACTTGCGTATCTCTCGTGGGACTTTGGGGGGAGGTTTGTCTGCCCACCTGACTCACGGGCCCGACTTGTTGCTGGCTCAGCCTGTTTGGGAGAAACAAACCCCACACCTGGCTCTTGAGGGCACCAACGAGAACCCTTACGTAGGTCGCCGTTCCACGCTGACATCTTCCGCTCCTTCAGCTGGTCTGTCAACATCTGTGGGAGGAAAAAATGGATCTTCTTCCCACCGGGGCAAGAAGAGGCCCTGCGGGATTGCCACGGGAGCCTGCCCTACGATGTCACCTCCCCCACGCTCCTCGACAGCCGCCTGTACCCCAGGCGTGAGCACTGTTGCCCCCCGTTGGAGGTCACGCAGGAGGCGGGTGAGATGGTGTTTGTGCCCAGCGGCTGGCATCACCAAGTCCACAACCTGGTAGGTCGGGCGCTCGCTGTTCCACAAGTGTAGCTCACAAGAGCAGGTCAGGAAGCTTGCCAGGGCCTGTTCCTGCCTCAGGTGTCCCTGGTGGCCTTCCTGGCAGTCCCTGCGTACCTTTACAGCAAGAGGGCAGGACTCGCCCTTCCCAACCCTCCCAGGGAACACCCTTGTTTTTCCCTCCCCGCATGGCTTCCCTGTGTGACTGTTGCAGGCCTGTAGGGATCTGCTGTGCACTTGTATTGTCCCTGTACCCCTGTCCCTCCCCTGGAGCACCCCTTGTCAAGCTTCGGCAGCCCAAGAGGAGGGAGGGGTGGGGTGGGCAGTGTTTGCGGTGAGCTTCTGGGAGTAGCCTGTGTGCCTCCCGCTTCCTGTAGGAAGACACGATCTCCATTAATCACAACTGGGTCAACGGCTTCAACCTGGGCCACATGTGGCACTTCCTGCAGCAGGAGCTCCGTGCCGTGCAGCAGGAAGTCATCGAGTGGAAGGAGAGCATGCCTGACTGGCACCACCACTGCCAGGTATGGTGTGTTTCAGCGCCAGACACTGGCAAGCCAGGGATTTCCTGGGGCTCTGGGAGGAGCTGAAAGGGGGCATGCTGGGGTGTCCTGCAGGCTTCAGTGGAGGCTGTGGGTGTGTGGTGACTGCCAGGCTGCCGTGCCATCTCGGGCCGTAGCTCACAAGTGCAGAGCTGTGGTCTCAGGGATGTGGTGGTCTCCAGGTCCATCTCTGCGAAGGACGTTCCCCCTCTGGTTCCTGTCTGGACCACACTGCATCTGGGGTCCTTCATCGCCCCGGTTCTGCCCAGTCAGAGGATGCTGCCTGATGTGTGGGTGCGTGGGCGCTCACGAGTCTCTCCTTTTTGACCCAGGTCATTATGAGGTCCTGTACTGGCATCAATTTCGAAGAATTTTACCACTTCCTCAAGGTCATTGCCGAAAGGAGGCTGAACAGCCTAACCAAGGGAATGGAGCCTGGCCAGGCTGAGCACAGTGAGGACACTGGGGTGGGCCTCCAGCAGGCTGCTTTCGACATCAGCCGCATTGCTGAGGTCCTGGCTTCTGTGGTGACTCACCCCGACTTCCAGAGAGTGGACACCAGCGCATTCGCACCACAGCCAGAGCAGCTTCTGCAGCAGCTGGAACAGGCTGTGGCCAGCACCGCATCCCTGTAGGGACTGCCGTGGGGACCGGAGAGGGCGTTTGGGGGCAACAGTGTGGATGGCGGCACGGGGCTCTGCTCTCAGCCCCACCCTCCCTGGTGGTGCGGAACACAGCACCTCTCTGCTGTGCCTTTGGCCTTGGCATCCCAGGTACGACTCATGCATACGATGGCTCAGACTCTCCTGGCTGTCCGTCTGTGTCCCTTTGTCCCAGAGCCTGTTTGGGGTACAGATTCCTGTTGCTGGTTTGTTGAATGTGGGGTGTTGTGGTGAGTTGGCCCTGCTGCAGGGACTTACCAGGACTCAGGAGTGGGCGCGCATGCACCCCGGGCTTTCCTGGCATTGTGGGCGTGCTGGAGATCCTCGTTCGTGGGATAGAGTCAGATCTCAGAGAGCCATACCTGTCTGTCACCCTAAACTCTTTTTTGTTGTTGTTGGGTTTGGTTTTGGGCCATCTGATGGTGCTCAGGGCTGACTCCTGTCTCTGCACTCAGGGATTACCCCTAGTGGGCTTAGGGGACCATATGGGATACCAGGGATATAATCCAGATTGGCAGTGTGCAAGGCAAGTGCCCTGTCCACTGTACAACTGCTTTGGCCCCAGTAACCTTAAACCCTGAGTCACGTACCTTTTCCCCAGATCAGAAATAAACAAGAAAAGAAATGTTGTGTAGGTTCCTGGGAGCTTTCAAACTAGGGTATCAGACATATAACAGCGTCTTTGGGGGAACAGGGGAGAAAAGTCTCTGTAGTATATCCATTTGCTCAGAATCTACTTTTGCTTTTTCTTTTCTGCATTGTTTGTAATTTGTCTTTTTTTTTTTCCACGTCCAATTTCCCACACTTAAAATGGGTAGAATTAGTCTGGTCTTCAAAACTACTATTTCCTAATTGTTTTCTGAAAAAAGGAAACGTTATTGGTGTTGAAGAAATAGCATAGCAAGTTGGGCACTTGCCTCACACATGAGAACTTGGTTTCATTCCCCAATCCTTCGAATGGTCTCCCAAGCCCCACCAGGAATGATCTCTGAGTGCAGTGCCAGGAGTCAGCCCTGAGCATCGCCAGATGTCCTCTCAGAAGTAACCAAGAGAGAAATGCTATTTCTTCCTCTGACGGTGTAGAATGCCTGCCCCTGTCATTGGAAGGTGCTTCTGAAAGACTCACCAGCCTCTAACCGGACGTCCTGAGAGCTGTCCCTGCTCCTTGTCTAGCCGTGACACTGCTGTGACAGGAGGGGCTGATCCTGCCCTCCACTTTCTTTCCCGTTTGTCTTTGCAACGGCGGAGTCCCATATAGATTCACAATCTCAGTCACGCTTTTCACTGCAGGCTGCACGCTATTGTGGCACCAGGAATCCCAAGTGTTTGGGACACATTACGGGGAGTGGTGCTGGAGACCCACTTGTTGCTTGTGTCTCTCTGGCAGCCGCGTGGCCATGGAGCCACCTCTGTGCATCAGGAATTCTTACCAGATGAGATCTGGGTCCCATTTAGAAGTGCAGCCCTGGGTTCTAAGTAGAGAGGGCAGATCGCATACAGGTTTACAGTATGGGGTATTGTGTCCACTGCTTGAAATTGGCTGGTCCTTTGGTTCCCAGGGTTTGGCAGGTAAGCCAACGCTGTGCCCACCCACAAGAGTGAAATACGTGGTGACCAAGCTGGGGCAAAGGCAGGACAAGGACTGACTCCATTGTTTCTACCATGACTTTGAATCCGTGATGCCACCACCCACAGAGTAGGAGGTTGCTGCCTCAGGTCCACCCTCTGTGCTGTAGTCCTGGGGACCCCCACAGCCCCTATCAGCTTACGTAGCGGTCACTTGAGTCCCTGTGAGCAGAATCAGATGTGTTCTCCCTGGTGGTGTGGGCAACAGCCTGTCCCCTCACCTCTGCCCACTCCCACCCCCGGCCCCCGGAGCTGCGTTGAGAACAGGTTGGCACCATCTTCAAGTTCACACACTGAGGCTCCTCCACCTCCCTCATGACAAGTACAGCCTTGTCCTGACTCTCCCCTTGGCCACTCTCGTGATGGTCTTGGGGACCATTGCTGTGAGCCAGGGCAGTATGTGCCAGTGGCTTCCCGCCAGAGGATTCAGCACTACCCAGGTCCTGCACTTCGCTTTCCCTCCTCCTCTCTAGCTTCTCCCTGCAGGCAGTGTGCGCCCTCCTTGGTCCATGCACATTTGTCAGTGGGCTCCCCGTCCCACCCTGCCAGAGCCCTGCTCTTTCACTCTAGCTCTCTTTCCTCCTGCGAGTTCACAAAATAATGTGAGGGTGGGCTGCTGCAACAACGGATGCCACATGGAGCTGCCTCCTGTTCTCCCCAGGCCTCCGTCCTCCCCAGGCCTCCGCAACAGAGAGACAGACAGGTAGGCGGGGACCACAGCTTGATGGTGAAAATGGCCCTTTTAATGCAGAGCTGCTAGCATACTTATAGAACCTCTGAGGGGGATTGAGGTAAGGACATAGGTGTGATTAATCATTTACATAGATAAAACATCTGGAGGTTTACATAGATCATTTACATAGATAAAACTAGGAAATTCTCTTGTGAGATTAACTCAGGGAGACACTGTCTCCCAGGGACATCTACATTGCTTTTATCTTTCCCTCTAGTTGTGTAAGTTATCAGTACTTGCAGTTGTTTGGATAAACACAATAAGAGACAAAGATCCCAACACTTAGTCCTCTGGGCTTTGAGAACACGCACACACGACTTACTTAGTTTTCTGGGCTCTGAGAGCAAGCAAGGCTTTTACTGTAAATCCCAGACTAAGTCCTCAGGCCAGTTCAGCTTGTCCTTCCTCGTGGGGATTCTGTCTCTTAAGTTATAACAGCTTGCAGCAATGCACTTATGCTTTCTAGACTGTCCCACTTCGATGCCGGTGTGGCTTTGCCACTCGCCCCGGGTCCATCCCAGTCCTAACATGGGACCTCCCTTTTGGGGTGTTAGGAACTACAGCAACTGAAGCCTGAGTCAAGTGTTTATGACCAAGTAATTATGCCCAGGGTTAGATATATTGCAGAGTCAGTCAACTCCCAAATATTAGGAGCATAGTATTAATGGTCTTTCTGTGTTTAACCAAAGAACACTGCTCTGTAGTAAAATATAGTAAAATATGAAAAGGCTGTAGGGGAATACACAGCACTTCAAATACAAAACACAGAATTACCAGAAAGTTTTGGCTTATAAGTAATCAAGACTGACTTGGGGGAACTGCGACGTGAGAGGTAAAATATAAAGGAAAGATTAAAGATAAACTTTAACTAAATTAGGGATGCTAGCAGGGCCACAATGAGCTGCTCTGGGAGGAGGAAAAGGGGCAATTCACTGACAAAGCTTAAAACACTTAGGGTTAATGGCCACTTCCCTTGCGTTTACTTTTCTTGTTTCACCCGTCTGTCCTGCCCCCATGCAGGAGTCCCTTCTTCTCTAGGAGCTCTCCTTGTTGACTTGCATGGGCCGAGTCTGGGAGGCTTGGAAGAGGCCAGGATCTTCCCGAAAGGCCCTTTGGGTGTCCCTTCTCCTGTGCGTTAGTCCGCCCCCTGGTGGCCAGTACGCTCCTGCACGCCTCACCTTAAAGTCGGCCCCACACACAGATCTCAGACTTGAGACCACAGTTTCAGATTTTACAGCTGGGGAGAAGACCATGTGAACGGAAGAGCATGTGGTTCATGATCAGGTGGTGTTGGGTCCACCACAGTGCCTGAGCCTGTAATCTGTAATGTGGCTCCTCACATCCCTGCACAGCGCTTGGGATCCTGACATGTTTCTGCTCTGGAGTCTCACCTCCTGCAGCAGAGACCCACAGGTTCCTACCTGGGGCAGGAAGGAGGTGGCCATGTGGGTCGACCAGAGTGGAGGCATAGGCACCAGAGGAGTCGGCTCTGTGCAGTCGATCATGTTCCCGGTGGGAAGTAATTCAGAGTAGGGATGGGTGAGGTGCTGAGGAGCCCCGACAGGGCTGCAGGCCTCAACTTGGGAAATTCTGGGCACAGGGGTGGGCTGCATGTCAGGGGAGGAGTGTAGAGCCACTTAAGTATGTGCCTGGGAGTGCTGCATAGTTGGTTATAGTCAAGCCTGCGTTGCATTTGACATCTTTCTGTTGGAAATTTAATCAGCACTCCCCTTGGGGCTAGACTGATACTGTACCCCGCAGAGATGTGGGGACCTGGTCTCCATCCCAGGCACTTCACATGGGCTCCTGAGCATTGCTGGGTACGGCAAGAAAAAATCAGTTCCACTTCAGTCCCAGGGAGATGCCAGGATCTGCTCACAGGGAATTGTACCCCCAGCAGGGAGCATTGTCCTCCTTGTACCTGAGCTGGCCAGTCTGTTGTCGCCAAACTTCCCAGGGAAGCCCGGGTCTCAGGGTCCCACAGAAGCCAGGGATACCTGTCACCCAGCCGGACACCATGCCCTGTTTTGCCTGAAAAATCATGGGGAAAAAATTCATAAAGGTCATTTGACTGGATTCTGTATTTGCTTCCTTTGCTTTCTTTCACAAGAAAACGTAAATTCTTGGGTCTCTGGCAAAGAAACATTTTGTTTCATGTATTCCTCTAGTTCAATATAAAGGCATTGCTCAAAATGTCAAAAGCTTGGTTTTGTACTGTTGTCAGTTGAATAAAAAAATAATTTCTGGAAATTGTGTGTTCTTGACAGAGAACACGATTGACTTGAAGATGACACTTTTTCTTTTGGACTTAAACATATTTAACAGTTGTTGTTCTGTGAGAAAAGGTGGAGAAGCACAGATGATGTCATTCCAGAAAAAAGGCAGAGGGATGAACTTTGAGTGTGTTGTCATTTCTTATTTCTTTGTTTTAAAATTGTAGCCCAGGCTTATCCATCTCTTCCAAGAGCAGCCGAACCTGAACATTCAGGACTAGAGTGATTGCTCTAAAGCCAGAAGGAGTCTCAGATAACTCCTCCTTAATGAACAAGTTACACACTGAATCACTTCAGTCTTATATGTGATGTGTGATGTTCATCATTTAAAATTAAGTGGTAATATGTGCTTTTTTTTCTTAGCTGTAAAATGCAGTGTGGCTAGTTTCTCAAGAAGAGAAAGGTTTCTCAAACAGATGATTCTGGCCACTAAGTTACATGTTGGTCATTTTTTACCACTCATACAAGATACTTTTGTTTGTTTACAGACAAGTACTGGCAAAGGATTCAGAGTCATTGTTTGAAAAGGATGTGTAGATAACTTTGTACAAACACGGAATGTTATTAAACTTTGTGACATGAAAATTTTCATAGTATTACTTATAAACTTTTAATTGCAAAATCTTCTGTGCCAGACCCAGGAATCTCAGCAGTGGATCCGCTGGCAACCCATGCAGAATGCTCAGTCACCTCATCCGTGAACAGGCATATCATAGTGATGATGAATCTGCCAAGTCTTCTGGATATCAACTGATGTACAGATGTTGCTATTAGCATTTCTAAAAATCAGTGTGTGAAGTGTTGAGAGATCTGTAAGTATGGGAGGGTTGTTTGACCAGATTATTTATAAATGATGGGAAACTTTTTATCTTGTTCAAGATTCTTATATGAATGACCTTTCTGAAGTTGTTTAGTTATTCGCCTCTAAAATGGGATAATACTGTTTGTTGGTTTAAAAGTAGGATTCATGAAATTTGGAAACTTAAGTATGTATTCAGATATAATAATTCCTTTTTCGAATAAAGCAGGAAATAGCTCATATTCTTAATTTGTAAATTAAGCCATGGTTATTACCAGTCTTAGACTAACTGCAGGATATAGAGAACAACTGTTCTATTCATTACAGAGTACTGCTAACTATGCAGTACCGTTAATTATTTGAAATAAATGCCCCTATGGTGCTGAGACCACTCTCCACATATTTGGACAAGCCTCATGCATGAAAGAACCTGCAGAAGAACCTGGGCATGCGGATCCCCTGGCTGAGATCTCCAACCCTGCTTGGATCGGGACTCGGCCTCCTCCACCCAGATCCCCCATCGTCCAGTAGGTAGGCGCCACACCCACCAACTGCCCCCAGCGC